GTCTTAATGTCTGTCTCGCACCCACACGGTCTTGCCTCAGTTTACCCATTCTGGCAGTTCTTAGGAGACAATACAGTTTTTAAAGGGCAGGAAAGCTCGTCTCCACATGGGTTTTTTGTGTGTGTGTGAGACTGGTTTCAGGGAAATCCAAGAACACAACCTACTTCAGTATTTCTGTTGATTTCGAGGAGAATGTGTTGAGTATCAAGTAGCAGGAGCACTGGGCGCCCATGGAGAATAAAGTGGAATCTGGGGAAGTTCCCAAAGGCATCTTCCAGGTGAGCACTGAAGAGACTCGGCCTGGACCGCCTGACGATGGAGAGGCAGCAGACGTGGCGCTGTCCGCAGGAGCCTCCGAATCCCGGTTGCCTTGGGATGGGCATCTGCTGCCTGCGTGGACGGGGTCCTCCGGGAGCCAGACCTGCGGGTGAGGGCTCCCAAGTCCACGGTGGCAGCGCTGTCAGCAGGGCCCTAGACTGTGGATGGAGCCTGGTGAGACGCTGTGCTCCATCTCCAGCACCGGAGGAGAGAATGCTGGGGCCCTTGGCCTCGGAGCCTGGAGGTGCTTACTCAGGTTGGAAGTGACTTTTTCAGGGAAGGATCAAAACAAAAACCAAATCTCAGACCCTGAGGCTGTACATTTTAAAATCCCACAGAGTAATTCTGTGTTGGTTGAACACCACACTTCTGCCTGCTCGGCCTCTGTAACATCCAGCCTGTGGATTTTAGATTCACAGCTACTACAAACCGTCCACAGCGAGGGTAGCAGGTATTGTGGACTTCACAGTTCCACCCCAGCTTTGAAGCCAGCTCCCAGATGCTTCTCTTGGGTTCGTGATTTGAATTTACATATTGTTTTTGAAGAAAACGACATCATGTGCATGAATCACTATTCACTTAAGAAATCTTTCAATGACATCATGAATGCTTTCAAATGTTTTAGGATATTTTTAGACCATGTCATCTCTGAAATGATTGAAAGGAGTGAGAAATATTGTGGCATTCCTGACTTTTTAGGTAATTCATCATTTTAGTGTTTGGCAAAATAGCAGAATATATTCAATTCCATGAGCATTAGGTAATAAGACATGTAATAAAGGATTAGGTTCTAGGTCAGTGTGTTTCGCCTGCATGTAAGTTTGTGTGTTTGTGTGGGCCCACTGAGGGTGGTGGCAGAGGTGTCACCTTATCAGCACAGAAGTGGGAAGAAGTTTGTTTATAAAAACAAGAAACTTCCCCAGCTGCTTAGAATGTTGGCCTGCGGACTGCAGGATCCCAGGTTCGATTTGGTCAAGGGCACATGCTTGGGTTGTGGGCTCGATCCCCAGTGTGGGGCGTGCAGGAGGCAGCCGATCCATGATTCTCTCATCATTGAACACATTCCTGCCTGCAGAAGCTCTTAAAATATTTTCCAAGTGAAGTGTTGGTTGAACCATTGTTCTTACATAATAACATGGTATTTAATTTGATCTATACTTGTGTTAATTACATGTTAGGATGTGTGTTAAGTTTTATAAGCAAATGACTGTTGCAATCCAAACTCGATTTATTGAGGAGTCCTGGAGCAAATAATGTTGCTCTGGGAAGGGGGACTCCTGACAGTGTCTGTCACAGGATGGCAGTGAGGAGGTGAGGATATAATGTATCAGTGACTGTGAGAGAGGTTGTCACAGGATGGCGGTGAGGATACAATGTATCAGTGACTGTGAAAGAGGTTGTCACAGGATGGCGGTGAGGATACAATGTATCAGTGACTGTGAGAGAGGTTGTCACAGGATGGCGGTGAGGATACAATGTATCAGTGACTGTGAGAGAGGTTGTCACAGGACGGCGGTGAGGATACAATGTATCAGTGAATGTGAGAGAGGTTGTCACAGGAAGGCGGTGAGGATACAATGTATCAGTGACTGTGAGAGAGGTTGTCACAGGACGGCGGTGAGGATACAATGTACCAGTGACTGTGAGAGAGGTTGTCACAGGACGGCGGTGAGGATACAATGTACCAGTGACTGTGAGAGAGGTTGTCACAGGATGGCGGTGAGGATACAATGTATCAGTGATTGTGAAAGAGGTTGTCACAGGACGGCGGTGAGGATACAGTGTATCAGTGACTGTGAAAGAGGTTGTCACAGGACGGCGGTGAGGATACAGTGTATCAGTGACTGTGAAAGAGGTTGTCACAGGACGGCGGTGAGGATACAATGTATCAGTGACTGTGAGAGAGGTTGTCACAGGACGGCGGTGAGGATACAATGTATCAGTGATTGTGAAAGAGGTTGTCACAGGATGGCGGTGAGGATACAATGTATCAGTGATTGTGAAAGAGGCTCTTGGCAGGAGAGCTAAGTAAGTTGTTATTATTCAGTGCCCACAGTGCAGCCGCCTACACAGGCTGCTGTATTTATGCAGAGACTCTCAGGATAATACTATGAATAGTTTTTCTAAGTGAAGTCTCCATGCAGGTTTAAAAAACCCAATTAAACTGAGTAACAGCCTTTTATTGAAGCGGAGGTGTCCAATACAACTGCTGGATGCCATCTGACCGTGCTAGTTCTTCGTCAGTAACTTAAAAGGCTTCACATTTTTTAAAGTATTGCTATGTTTTAAGGTCTTTCAAATTCTTGAAAAAATATCTGAAATATGAAAAATGCAAGGCGAGCCCTAACCGGTTTGGCTCAGTGGATAGAGCGTCAGCCTGCGGACTGAAGGGTCCCGGGTTTGATTCTAGTCAAGGGCATGTACCTTGGTTGCGGGTACATCACCAGTTGGGGGTGTGCAGGAGGCAGCTGATCGATGTTTCTCTCTCATCGATGTTTCTAACTCTCTATCGCTCTCCCTTCCTCTCTGTAAAAAATCAATAAAATATATTAAAAAAAGAAAAAAAAAAGAAAAATGCAAGGCGACATGGAGCTGGGAAAAGGCCAAGCCCTCCGACTGGAAAACTCTAACATACCTGTGGGGTTTCAGCAAGTGGCCAAGTGACTGACTCTGGCCGTATTCACAGAAATAAAGGAAACATGCCCAAGGTACCTCCAGGTAACACTCTCTGTAGAGCTTGTGCCCGGGCATTCTCCTGCAGTATTTTTCCATGGCTGTTACTTATTCTCTGCCTTAAACTTACAATTTAAAGAAGTGTAACCATCTCCAAGTTAGGAAATAGCAGAAAAGAGTTTTTTTTAGCCGTGGCTGGTTTGGCTCAGTGGATAGAGCATCGGCCTGCGGACTGAAGGGTCCCGGGTTCGATTCCGGTCAAGGGCATGTACCTTGGTTGCAGGCACATCTCAGTAGGGAGTGTGCAGGAGGCAGCTGATCGATGTTTCTCTCTCATCGATGTTTCTACTCCCTATCCCTCTCCCTTTCTCTCTGTAAAAAAAAAAATCAATAAAATATATTTTTTTAAAAAAAACTTTTTTAAAAAATATATTTTATTGATTTTTTACAGAGAGGAAGGGAGAGGGATAGAGAGTTAGAAACATCGATGAGAGAGAAACATCGATCAGCTGCCTCCTGCACACCCCCTACTGGGGATGTGCCCGAAACCAAGGCACATGCCCTTGACCGGAATCGAACTTGGGACCCTTCAGTCCGCAGGCCGATGCTCCATCCACTGAGCCAAACCAGTTAGGGCCAGAAAAGAGTTTTTTTTTTTTTTTTTTTTTTTTTTTTTTTTAAAATATATTTTATTGATTTTTTACAGAGAGGAAGGGAGAGAGATAGAGAGTTAGAAACATCGATGGGAGAGAAACATCGATCAGCTGCTTCCTGCACATCTCCTACTGGGGATATGCCCACAACCAAGGTACATGCCCTTGACCGGAATCGAACCCGGGACCTTTCAGTCCGCAGGCCGACGCTCTATCCACTGAGCCAAACCGGTCTCGGCGAGTTTTTTTTTTTTTTAAAGTTATTTTATTAAGATGCAATTGGCATATAACGCCATGGCTTTTCGTCATGCATATATGTACATATACGCGAACTACAGATTATAAACAGGAACATACATCCCGCCTCAAAGGTAACAAATAGACGCATAGAATAAACTGACACAACCTGAGCCTGTATCGTCCCGGTGTTCGCAGCTGCGCGCCGGAGGGACGCGGGCGCCGCTGCGGGGCGGTCCCCCCGGGGCCGCGGGTGCCCGGCGGGCCTTTCCCAGGTGAGTCCGACGCAGGGAGGAGGCGGGGAGGGCCCGGCACGGAGAACGCCCTCCGGGCGCTCCGCCTGCGTGCCCCGCCCCGGCCCCGCCCCCCTGCGTGCACGCCCAGGCCCCGCCCACCCCGCCTGCGTGCCCGCCCAGGCCCCGCCCCACCCCGCCTGCGTGCCCCGCCCCCGCGCCCTCCCGACGCTCCCGGCGTCCGCCGCGCGCCGCAAGGGTCCGCAGCCCGAGCTCGCCGGGCGCCTCACAATCGGGGCCGGGCGCCGGCGTGACGTCACCGCTCCGCGGCCCGCCTCCTGCGCCCGGAAAGAAGCGGCCGCCCATTGGCTGCGCCGCTGGCGGCCTCGGGGCCAATGACGGCGCGGCGAGCGGCGGGGTCTGGCCTTGACGTTGTGCTGCTCGCCGTAGGGTTTATTTGGCTCCGGGGCCCCGCACCGCCGCCATTACGATCCCGCAGCGTCCGAGGTCGTCCCCCCTCCTCTCGCCCCCGCCCCGCGGCACCCCGCCGCCCGCTCTGCGCCCCTGTGTCCCCGCCTCCGGCGGTCGGGAGCCGCGCGCGGGCCCGCGGAGACCATGTCCTGACTGAGGGGGCGCGGAGGCGGCGCGGAGGGAGGCGGAGAGGGGCCGGGCTCGGCTCGTCACCGGGGGCAGCTCGGGGAGTCGCCGCCGGGCAACGAGGGTCGGACGGAGAGGAGGAGCCGGAGCTGGAGGAGGAGCCGCCGCCGCCGCCAGGTAACCGGGCCTCGGGAGGGCGTCCCGCGCAGCCCCGCCGCGCCGAGGCCTCCTGCTCCCGCCGGATCAGGCCGCCGGGGTCCCGGGTCGCCCGCCCCGCGCTCCACGGCCGGCGCGGGGAGGCCGGGGTAGGGGCCTGTGTGCCGCCGCTGCGCCCTCATTTTGGGCTTCCCGGTGCGGGGCCGGGCCGGGCCGGCGAGGGTGGGTCCGCCCGCTTGTTTACCGACAGTCGATGCTCCGGGCTGGACGCGCCGCCTGCCCCGCCGCCTCTTCCGCCAGCTTCCCCTCCCCCACTGCCCTCCTGCCGCCCGGCGGGGCGCGGAGTGGGCACGCGAGTGGGGTTCGGCTCCCCCTCCGCCGGAGGCCCGGGAAGACCGCGTCCGCCGTCGCAGGCTGGTGCTGGTCCCCAAGCTCGCGTTTCTGCCTCGGGGCGCCGCCTCCGCCCCCCGCGGGAGCCGGGGTTGCTGCCAGTTCCGTCTTCGGAAAATAAAGGTGGGGGGCGCCCGCGGGGGGAGGGGGGAGCCTGGAGGAGCTGCGGCCAGGGGACCGGCTGACCCCTCTCGCTCCGGGTCACGACGGCCCGAGCGAGTCGGTGGTTGTCTCGGTGCAGCTCGTGTGGACCCTTCGCAGACAAAAGGGCCGGGAGGACCCGCATCAGGCGCGGGGCAGGCAGCGCGGTTCCGCCGGGAAGTGCGGACCGGCCCCTTCGCTCTGACATCACCGGTGGTTTGAAACTGGTGGAGTGTTTTGAACTCCAGACCGCTGCTCCCCCTTTTCCGTGACCCCGTAGGCTGTCAGGTTGGACGCCCTCCTCGCTACCCAGTCTGGCCTGTCGGCCCTGCGATGCTGCCGGCCGGCGAGAAGGCTGCTGGAGGAGCACAGCGCGGAGGCCTCTTGAACCCCTGGGCCTGTGCAGAGAGCGGTGCTCCTGCTGGTGGGCCCTGGTGCGTTGGCGGCCTGATCACCCGGGTGACCGCCAGGGGACCCCTGTTTGGATCCAACGGGGATGCCTCCGTGCACAGGCCATAAGCCCGGGAGCCATCAGGCATCTTGATCTGGGCTTGTGCCACGGGCCTTGGGAGGTCACTTAAACGACGTGGGGAATAACGCTGGGTCGCTTCTCTTCGGTGTTTTTAAAGAAATGCGCAACCTGGCTCCTCCTTGGTTTTTGGTTCTTATGACAAGATATATGCAGCCAGTCACCTCCTCATACCAACATTTCACAGCATCGCTTCTGTTGGGGGGTTAGGGGGGAGGCATGATATCTTCATTTTGGGGGAGGGTGTTTGTCATGAGGGATTTCTGTTTCGGTTGATGTTTCAACACCTCTTAGTGCTTCAGACACCCATTTATTTACTCTTGATATGGGCTTAGGTTAATTTTACGCTCATGGCCTTGATCCAGCTCTGTACATATCACATCCCGATCTGAGGATTAACATGATTTGGGAACGCGCAGCCTAGTTGTGCAGTATTGGGTAGATTGCCTCCTTATGTGTGATCGATATAGTGAGCAGTTTAACACGCTTTATACTTTACTCTTATGGTAAATGGAGACTGTAAGTAAATGGGAGCTGCAAAGGCAGACCGCTGGGACCCGTTTAACTCGCCCACTGTCCGGTTCTGAGGGTTGCTCATGCCCCTCCCCCCACAGTAGCCTCTTGTACCTGGGCTTTGGCCCGGTTTTCCCTGATGCGGTGTTTCCTTTGGAATGTTTGTGCTCTGCTTATGCTTCGGGTAAATAAGATCTTGCACATCTGAACAGTCTCACTTCCTCGGCTCATAACATAAAACTTCCAGAGCACTCCTAGTCACATGCAGAGTAAAGCTTACGCTCCTTGGTGTGGTGGTCAAGTTTCTCTATAATCTGGTCCATTCTTCAGACTTAACTCTTCCCTTTTCCCTTTGTGAGTCCTTAGTTCCAGCAAATGAACTTGTTACTGCGAAGGGGCTCCAGTTGGCCTTTCTTTATGCCCTTTTTCTGTTTTAAACCCTCTTCCGCCAGCTTCCATGGGCATTCTTTACTCTGGGCTCAGTTGATGCTTGTCTCCTGAGAAACCTTTTTGCCGACTTCAACCCCAAGGGATCTATTCATTCCTCTCTTGTGTAGGACTTTCATCTTTTTTTCTTCTTCTCAAACATGCCAGCCTGGATTTAATTTATCTTTTTATAAAGTCTTTATTCTGCTTCGCTATTAGATTTTTAAGACCTCTGAGAAATTGGTATGAACCCTAAACTTTAGAGAGACCGTATATCATATATTCAGCAATGAAAATGTGCAGGCCTAGTCTGACGAAGTATTTTTGGTCATAGAGGTATTTTAGGATATGCAGTTTGTATTAGAGTTTCTGGGACTTTCATGATTTGTAAGACAAAATATTTGAAATTATGGCGGTCTCTAAAAATGTTGGGGGGGAGTGCTCAGTGTGTTTATATGTATTATCAGCACAGCTTTCTTCCTATAGAGGATGCTCCACATTTTGATAATGGTCATGTCTTATTCAAATGAAAAGTACTGCGGTTCCGTAGTTTGCTTCAGATTTGCTTCTGGGACAGTTACTGCTGTTCAAGTGTGGTCCCAGTGACACTCAGGGTGGGCATTCCGTGTTCGTAGTGTGCGGAGCAGCCTCATGGGAAAGAGAAAATGATCTGTAGTCTCAGTTTACATCCTTATCCTCAGATGTTGGGGGCACGTGTCACCGCTCACAAGGCAGATGAGACTCAGAGAATGTGTGATTCACTGCTACCGGTCAGCACTGGGTGAAGAAAACACAAACCAGCTGGTCCCTAGTGCTTTTGTGCACCATGGGTGACACATGTAATTATGGAGTCCATGGGTGGATGCGGATGTAGTTGGAAAATAGGTGTGTGTGTTTCTGTTGTGTTGTGTGTGTGAGTAAAAGGCTTGGCATTTGATGGATACATAGTCTCTTAGCAGTAAACCATCTTGATGCATCTATGTGGAAACCTGTCCTCTTCCTCCAGTTCATCAAACTATTTTATCCCTTGAAATTGACTGATTTTTAGGAAGTAGTTTACGTAACTTTTAAAGCTTCAGAAACCTTTTTAGCCTAATTGAAGCTAAAATTAGCCTGTTAATAAACTTTACAGAAATGCTAGACATTTTTACATACACTATTTGGATTTGTAAAGGATACTTTCATAGAATTATACCAGTAATTTTACCTTTTGAGAAATCTGGATCAGTTAGCATTCTTTGCTTTCTGGAAGGTTGGTTTGCCCTGCCCTATAGATCGGTCAAAAGAAGTTAGATATCTCTGATAATTTTTCTAATTCACATTTCCCTGGATAGCTACAGGGGAGTGGGCAGAAGCTTCTCTTGGGCCTGAAGCTAAAATCGCCTTTAGCTCACAAGAATCTGCATACCACTGAGGCACATTTTGTGGGGGCTTGTCCTGGACCCCCACAGTATCATCCATTTGTTTCTTTTTAAATAACAGCTCCATTGAGGTTTATTTCATATACCATGAAATTCACCCTTTTAAAGTATACACGTCATTGGTTTTTAGCGCATTCACAGAGTTGTGTGGACAGCACCACTGTGCAGAACATTTTCCTCCCCTTAAAGAGACCATACCCATTAGCAGTCCTTTCTTTCTTTGCCTGAGTTCCTGGCAACATGAATCTCTTTCTGTCACTATGGATTTGCCTATTCTGTACATTTCTTACATGTGGAGTCATACAATATATGATCTCTTATGTCTGGCTTGGCAGCTTTAGCATAATATTTTCAAGGATTATTGGTATTACAGCATGTATCAGTGTTTCATTCCTTTTTATGGCTGAGTAATTAATATTCCATTGAATGTTTATCTATTTGTTGATTGGACATTTAGGTTGTTCACACTTTTTGTCTATTATGAAATTTGTGTACAAGTTTGTTTTTTTAAAAAATATTTTATTGATTTTTTTAACAGAGAGGAAGGGAGAAGGCCAGAGAGCCAGAAACATTGATGAGAAACATCGATCAGCTGCCTCCCGCACACCCCCCACTGGGGATGCGCCCGCAACCAAGGCACATGCCCCCGACCGGAATTGAACCTGGGACCCTTCAGTCCGCAGGCCGACGCTCCATCCACTGAGCCAAACCGGTCAGGGTTGTGTACAAGTTTTTGTGTGGGCACATGCTTTCATTTTACTCTTTGTTTACCCTTTGAGGAACTGCCAGACTGTGTTCCAAAGTGGTTACACCATTTTACGCTTCTATCTTCTAGCACTGATGCGGGTCCCATTTCTCCCCAGCTGCATGTTATTGTCAGTCTTTATATTGTAGCCTTTCTTGTGAAGTGGCATCTTCTCGTTTTTGTTTGCATTGTCTTCATGGTACTGAGCACCTTTTCATGTTCCTATTGGCCATTTGTATCTCTTCTTTAGAGAAGTGTCTATTATAATCCTGCTCCCATATTTCAGTTGGGTTATTTATCTTTTTATTGTTGAGTTGTAAGAGTTCTCTATATATTCTGGATGCAAGTCAGGTAAATGATTTGCAAATATTTTCTCCCATGTTGTGGGCCATCTTTTCTCTTTCTTGATGGTGGCCTTTGAAGCACGGAAGGTTGTAATTTTGGTGTAGACCAACTTATCTGCTTTCTTTTGTCAGTTATGCATTTGGTGTCATCTCTAAGAAGCCATTGTCGAATCCATGGTCAAGAAGATGCACATCTGTGTTTTCGTCTAAGAATTTTCTTTCTTATATGTAGGTCTGTAATAATTTTGAGTTTTTTAAATATAATATGAGGTATAAACATGCAGACCCCCCAAATTTTTTAGAGACAGCCATAATTTCAAATATTTATTTTGTCCCATAAATCATCAAAGCCCCAGAAACCCCAATACTTAGAAGAATACAAACTGTATATCCCAGAATGACTTCTATAACCAAAACTGCTTTGTCAGACTAGGTGTACATATTTTCAGTGCTGAATATATATGTCGTCTGTATAGATCCAGGGTTTAGGGCTCATCCCATTACTCAGAGGTCTTAAAAATCTAAAAGGAAGCAGAATAAGGAATAAAAAGGTACATAGAAATCCAGGCCAGCACATGTAAGAAACTGTGGGAGAGCACCCTGTGCCGGAGCAGCCACGGGGGTGAAGGACGGAGACCTGGGTGACAGGCGGGTGAGGGGAAAAGGCTTTGCTGGCCCCGGGCTGTGACTGCCTCACTCCTTCTCCAGGCCTGGGCCTCGTCCCCCACAGCTAATATTGTTGGGGAGGGAGGGCTGGGAATGAGGAAGGAGGAGTGATCCTCTTCAGTGTGGATCCTCTCTACACCCAGGAAGAGGAAAGACCCCCCCTCCCTGTGTGTGTGTGTGTGTGTGTGTGTGTGTGTGTGTGTGTGCGCGCGCGCGCGCATTTGTAAGGGGATGTATTGGGGGTATTTGTTGTACTGGTATGAAGTTGAAAATTTGAGGCCATATATTTTACAGAAATTCATTCAACAAATTAAGCTAATAATTATTGGGTATCTACT